TCGTGTTGCACAGGTTCGCGGAACTTCCTGGCTTCAATCGAAAGCAAGTTGAACAAGAATAACTTCTTTGATCTGTCTGAGGACAAAGGACCCTCCACTGCCCAAAAAACACACCCGCCACAGCATACGACCAAAGCATTCGTCCATAAAAGAACTGTGACTGTGTAGACCCCAACAACTCGCCTGGCAGTACTCTGAGAGCACATTGAGGTAGGTCCGGGAAAGGCTTTGCACCCCTGGAAGAAGGTCCCGCAACTTCGGGCCAACCTTGGGACGCGGAGAAGACTGAGAAGCGCAGGCCGCTCATCCCGGCGTTGCGAAACCCACGGGGGTCCGTCCGGTCAGCCCATTCGGGTCGGCCCCTTCCGATCCCTGGACCGTTCGCATCCACCGCAAGCTGCTCAGTTGGGGCAGCAGGGCCAATATTGGATGGATGTCCTTACAGTGATTGTCCTTACAGTGATTTCATGTGATTTTCCTTGGAAAGACATTGGGTCATATTGGGGCGGCCCCAAGTTTCAGGGCCTCCAATACAGACCGTGGTCCCGTGGTCAGTGTGGTCAAAGCCCCCCTGTTGAGGCACCCCAACATGCAAACCTTGGGCAAGCCTCTTGCCTAGTGGACTCCTCAGTTGATTCTCAGATATTCTGAGGATTCGATTCAACCTCCGCTGTGGGTTCAGATGAGTCCGGCGGTCTCAGAAAACTAAGCTCCAAGTTTAACGGAGATCCCACACCAGTCAGTTGTTCTTCACCTCACGGGGCAGCCGCTCTTCGTCACTTATTTTTGCCCTTCTTGTCAATCTACCCCAGACATGCAAAATGATCAAAACGGCACACGGATCCACTACAAGTCCTTGCTATCTTCCTATGTCCGTCCACCGACCCCCCAAAACCACCCTCTTGACGCCGGCTTCGCCGGCCGCTTTCTCCGGCGCGGTCCCAGACGCGCCGGGTCGACGCCCGGGTCTCCCGGCCGTGTGAATCACCACCTGGTTGACGTTATAGACGTGGAGCTTTGCACCTCGACCCGGGGAGGAGCTTGGGTAGTCATCCGGCTGAGCATCCACTGTTTGAAAACATGGGCGTCCAAAAATGTGCATGGAAGGGGTGCATCTGCAAGTTGGAATGGCTGGAGGTTCAGTCAGGCAAAGGAGATGTTTTCCATGGGAGGATCTCCCCTTGCGTGAAGTGCGGGCAAATGTGTTCTTTTGCTCGTCCGAAATGGCGGTGAGTGGAAAAATGGTTGAAACTCATGGACAAAATCATGGAAAATTGTTGAAATGGCGGTGAGTGGAACAGCTTTGGCGAATTGGACGCCCTCAGCTCCCGGACGCCCTTCAGCTTCCACTTCCCGGCTCCTGGCCGGAAACACACGGGCACTGCCGGTATTGAAGGGCTAGGAGATGCAAACGAACAGCTTGTTGCACCCAAAAAGGCTGGATTTCTCCCGCTTGGACCCATCACCTTTCAATAGGTCGTTCTCTTCCGTCTATTTCTGGAGAGCGTCAGATCTGTACATCTGCCCGTCTGCCCCATCCCCCGCGCGATGCGCCCAGCTTCAAAGCTAGCCGCGACCAGTGTGGACAGGTTCGGGTCTGGGTGACTGCAAGGCAGACAATCCGGAAGCCCCTCAGGTTCGGGTGTCCTTCACATGGCTTCATCATGTCTTTACCTGAGGTTTCTTCCCTGTTCTTCATTCTTCTTCCAGGCTCCCTCTCTGGTGGTTTATTCGTTCCAGGAGCTCCAGTCACGCATGACCACCGCGATCCGTTGATCTCGCTTCCAAACCCGCCAGGGCGGACGCTGCAAAGTGGCGGTTCACCTGCCACGCCGGGAGGAGGTGGGGCGGCGGGGAGGGCGGTTCCCTGGCAGCAGCGTGCTTTTTGTCGCAGGTGGGTTCCACCGACCAAGTAGGATTCGTGATCTTTTCTATGTCCAGGGAAGGGGTCTGGGAAGGTGTAGCAAGACCTGTACCCTTGGAGATTGGCTTCACAACCGTGGACTTGACTAGGTCATCCATGGAAAGAGAATGAACCATTCAAGATCCGCCGTTCTCTGGAACATCCAGTTAATGAGAAAACATCCGAGAGTGCTGCAGTGATGCTGCATACCCAACTCGAACCTTTGTGGATACACTAACCATATTGTCGTGCCGCGGAGGGCCGGCCCCGTCGATCCCCGCCCACCTCAGGAGGGAAGCGGCCATTGGCAGGTGCCGCAGTGAGGTTCAGCCTCGCGCGGTCGAGACCATCGAGACACTGCTGCTCGAGATGTCCCGTTGGTCTCACGAGGGTGGCCAGTGGGTCTTCTGTTTTTGTCCAAGCGAGATGAAGCAGCGAGTTGAAGCCACTAAAGCCAAGTGGCCCTATTGGATAGGTGAATGGTGGCCTGTAATTGCCTTTGGGCTCCCCTCATCACCGAGTTCACCAAGAATGGTCACTTCATTAGTCATTCAACCTGAATCCTTCGCCTCCGCGGCAGAAAAGTTCCAATGCAAATCTTCCAACATCCATGGGCGCAAAAAATGTTACCTTCATGGTGGAAGGTTGTGGGTTCCACATTATTACAGGCAAACCGTGGTCTTATTGATTTGAACCTCCTTTTTGCCTTCCTTGAACATCAGCGGTACACGTATAAAAGACCAATGCAGTCTGAAGCACAGCAAGTCGGACCCCGCTGGGCGCCGCGCCATTTGTAGATGGAACCCGACCTCGGTCCACACAGGCGCCGGAGAATCGCCAGGAACGGACAGGAACTGTCACTCTGGGGAGCGGCAAGCATGGCCCTTGTGCCGCAGACCCTCCAGGCCGAAGTTATGAAGATCTTCCCCCAAAAAAAAATGCATGGCTGCATGGCTGCCCATATAGAAACTGTGCACAATTCGATGATTCTCCACAGCCAGATGGGGGGGCTATCATTAGTTTAGGAACTTGGGCGATGACTGTTTCAGGAGGGATCCACAAATTGATGAAATCCAACAAAGCACCAAGCAAACATGATCCAGGCGGTTGGCTGCCTCAAAAGTGGGGCTGGAAGGGTCATTGTTGTTGTAGCCCAAGTGAATGACCTGGTTTTCGAAGCCATTGGCCCATACTTGCCGGGCCCAGCCATTTGCCGCCTCTTCCCCCAGCATCAATCCCACCCGCCCCTTCCTTGGGTGCTCTGGCGCGCCCCCCGGCACCACGACAGCTGTTGCGGTAGCCAATGAAAGGGAAGCCCGCAGGGTCCACCACCACGGCCTGGTGGACCGAGTGAGTTCGGGGTTCCGAAGCGACACACCGATGGAGGAACAAACGGAGGATGGAACGCCCCACCCGTGTGACCGATGGAGGCTTCGCACCCACGCGACACCCATGGACCTACAGTGAAGAATAATAAAAAAGGGGGGGGCCGTGGGTTCAGCATGTGGTCGCAACAGGCAGGCCTGTGAAATGCTTGATGGAAAGGAAGACACGGCACAAAGGCAACACCAAGCATTTGCTTGCAGTTGCTTCTTACCCCAGGATCGATCAAACTCCTAGCCGCCCACCAGCCAACGAATCGAACCGGATCTGGTTTGACCCCAGCTATGATTGACCGGTAAGCCCTGCAGCCCCATTGACTAGGAACCGCTGCTTGCGATGCCTGCGATGAATCATGGACAGCTACCACAATCCAAAGCCCATTTGGGTCCCGCTAGCAGTCCAACCTCTTTTATGTGTAGCCGTACTAGTCTGAAACATGTTCCTTGGGGATGTTCTTTGGGTTCTCATGGTCTTTCCAAGACATCCTCAGCTGCGGCCTTGGATTTTGCTTTAGGGATCCCACCTTCAAAAACTATGTGTATATAGTGTATATATATATATATATACGCACGTAGATCATTTTGGCATGTTGCAAGACCCGGCCCCTTGTTCCGAACACATGACGCTTGCCTGCCTTACGACACCGCGGGGCACACCATATTCTGAACAGGAATGAAAACAAGAAGATGACTCAGTCCGTCCAGCACCCGGCCAAAGGGTCCTTGCCCGTGCCTCGACGGGTGCCAAGGGCGCCAACTCCTTCTGCCCTTCGGCGTTGCCTAAGACCCCGTGCGGCTTCACCTGGTGGCAAGGGTGCCAACTCGACACATACGAGGTGCGGCGTGCAGCGACTCCAGCGTTTGAGTTTCCGAGGACAGAAAAGGAAAGACTAGCAATGAAGAGTACCGAGCAGGTGGAAGTGGGGATTGTATGGGATTGTAACGAGACTGATTCTCACTGGGAGTCCTCTTGGCGGTTCCCATGTCGTAAACAAAACTAATCACCTTCTCGAAGTGATCGAATTCGATGGAAGCAAATCTAAGTGAGCATCGCTTCAACTTCTACCATGAACTGTGGTTGAAAAGACCTGATCAATCCCCTTCGGCTCTGGCGATATCCGCAGGATCTTGTAATATTTTGCTTTCTCAGTGCACTATAGGGTGCCACTAGTTAGTTCATAGTCGTCTCTTGTAACACCTCCGGTCCCCACAGAAGTTGATCCGTCGGGCGCGAAGAAAGGCGCCGGCCTTGAAGGCTTGCAGCAAAGGGTGGGAGAAGGAGTTGATGATCTTCACCTGGCAGGAATCCGGTCTCTGAATTCTGGAGCTGAAAGGATCTGCAAAATGGGCTGTACTTGAATCTGAATAAAGGTGTCATTTGAAGATGTGGCTAGGCTAAAGCATGTCCAAAAGTTTGTTCTCTTCTACACCCCCGCGACCCGACTGCAGGTCAGAGTTGATAGTCATAACTTCCGGCTTGATGGGAAAATCACCTCAAACAACTGGACTGGTCGCAGGTGTCGTTTGCGCGCCTTGATCTGTCTGTCTTGCTGGGGCAACTGAATGGGGAGTGCAGACCTTTGCATATTGTCATATGATATGATCCACAACACGATGCACTAAAGGTCCATCCATCTGGGTGCGCAGAACCTGTTTCAGAATTCAAGCAGGTGATGTCTGTCCCATGGCTGCTGGTAGTGCCAGCTGCTCAGGAAGTTGTTCTTCCCGTGAGACGGAGACGAATTAGAATTCATCGCCATAGCCTTCTTCCTCGCCCTCACCTGCAAAACAGCATGGAAACAGTGTGGAAAGCATATGAAAGCATATTCAGCAAAGCCCTTGATAGCACTGGCCCCAGAGGGTTCTGAGCATGAAGCTTGGACCATCAGTCTTGCCTACACGCACTTAAGAATGGCTGAAAGAATCAGTGCCTCTGCAACCTAGATCATCCATCGAACCCGATATCATCACTAGTTTGTGGGCAGTACAATATATTTGTTGTGTTCAACAATACCCCTTGTGTTCACGTTTCTGTCTTCCCGAGCTTGTCGGCAACATGGATGTATCCCAAGATGGCCTTCCAAGAACAGACTTGCTGGAAATGTATGGAAATGTAAGTTACTACCAAGCAAGTGAACCGCCCAAAAGGAACAGGAAAACCTTGGGCGGGGCAGGGCGGAATAAGAACAAGAGCAAGAAGAAGAGGAAGAAGAAGAAGAAGATCTTCAGCGAACCATCATTGCAACAGGACCATCGAGGCGGCCTACTAGTACCTAGCTGCGTACCTTCGGCTGTTTCGATGCCAACTTCCTCGTAGTCCTTCCTCAGGAGTGAAACGAAAGATCAGACTGGCCAACCTTCTTAGGTTGGTGTTTGGGCTGTTTGGGTTGGCAGGTTGGTTGGTTGATGAGTTTGGTTGCTAGCACCGTCTCTGACGCCGGGTAGTTCCCGCATATGACAGGTCATGGTTGTAAAGGCAAGGACTTGGGCCGGGGCCGGGTCAAAGACTCCTTCTCTGGCTCTTCGTTCACATGGCTAGTTGTTCTAGACCCAAAATACCAATGGACAACCACTTACGTTTAGGGGCTCTCCTCTGAATGAGTTTTTGCAAGTGAAGACCCCCTATTCCTTTGCAACATGAATGAGCCTTAGTGTGGTCTTCGATTCCGAGAGTAGGCTTGAAACTAATCTGAAGCTTATGGGATTCTCGCCATTCATCAGCATCTTTTTTTCCGGGTCAGACAAGTAGTTGGTCAGCCAGATTGTAGCGCCTTGTTCTCAACAACAACAACAACAACAACAACAAACGGCAACGGCAACGGTTTCTGGGCAGTTCCCGCCCACGCCGCTCAAAACTCACACCATCGCGGTCAGGCGGCTCCAGGGCTGCCAGGTCCTCACGAGCCTCCGAGAATTCGCCCTCCTCCATGCCTTCACCCACATAGTGGTGCACGAAGGCACGCTTCGAATACCTGCAGGTATAGAAATTTGGTTACCCGACTGATGAACTTCAAAGATTGCACCGCCGGATCGAATATCTGCAGGATGATGTTCGTTTCGGATTTGGCATGTGACGACTGGAGGAAGTAAGGATCCACTGCGCCAGAGCGCAGGTATTTGACATTCATCAGGTGTTCATCTGTGAGACATCTTGTTTTCAGAGATAGGCTATTTCCGTGGATAGCAGTGCTGATAGCAGTGCCAAAGGTGTGAATTGGTTGCTTTGTACTCTTTGTGCCAACGTGGTGAATTCGATATGTTGTTTGGGACATCCAGCGCTTCGGTCGAAGAACGTCCAGCGCTTCTGGGCGTCGTTCATTAGCCAAAGGACTCGGTCTAGCAAAGGGCGTAATATTTATGGTAAGTCGCCAAGCTAGAAAATGAGTGAGACAGGCGATGAGGGTTGACATTCACCTCAAGGAGGTGGGGCTGGCGACGGCAGATTCAGTCTTCCAATGATCCAATGACAATCTAGGTGCCTGGGCAAAGTCCTTCAAAGGTCAGTCCAAGTAGGTTCAAGAATCCCTGCCATTCCTGCAAACCCAGCACATTGCTGAATCGAACCAATTAAATATGGAACATCCTGCTTCTTTAAAACTCCATCCAAATCTCAGCTCATCTATATAGATTAATCTATATAATCATCTCTGGGAAAAATGGAATATTTGCCGCAGCCCAATGGTTTTGCAACCTCCTTTCATTCCTTTCTCACATGGGTCCAATGCGGAGACTGCTGACCATACCACGTGGAGTTTGGTCGAATCCTTCAACTTGATCTCCATCTGAAGAACCCCATTGGTGAATGGTGAATGATACAGAGTCATCTGAACACCCAAAAAAAGTTGGAAGTGAAACACCCAGAACCCTACTGCTGATTTGTCCCAGTCGAAACATCGAGTGTTCCCGAGGGCCCGGAATTGCATGGCGTCTTCGGCGTCTTCGGGTCTTTCAGCCATGAAGCTCACACAGCTGCCGTTCAGCTGCCGTCTTCGGGTTGGCTTCGGAAACATGGTCGGCCCTTTCTGGTGAAATCCATCAATCATCTGTCTGACATCATCTGTCCGCCACCCTGTTCCCCACACACTCCGGCTTTGCCCCCGGTCGCCCAGGTACATCAAGTCAAACTTGTGGTCAATACGAGAGAAGACCTCTGCAATGGCCTCGCTCGCGCGAGACTCGTACTCGCACACCTTTCCAGCCAAAGGGCCTTTTGCTTTGGAAAAGCATCCGGGCTTCACCAACTTGGTTATGGCATGTGCCCCCCCGTTGAGCCTTTTCGCCAAGAAGGTTGAGTAAAGTTTCTTTTGAGATCCCCGTTGCTACCAAATCTTCAGGTTCACCCTCCATGTTATGTAAAAGAATGCTTATCTAAAATGACTGGTACGTATTAAAGACCTATACATCTCATTCTATTTAAAAGTGCAACAAGAAAACCACTGTCTGTCATGACTGGCTAATTTGACAGTACAAAGAGTTCATCCGTGTCATCTTTTTTGTTTAAGCCTCATTTTTGAGATAACCCTTAAACTAAATGAGTTAACTAAAAAGGGTTTCCGTGGTCGACCACATTCATTTTAGCTAACCGGTAGCAACTGGGATAATTCAAGTTGCATTCATCACAGTTGAACCTGCAGAAAGACTTGACCTGCCAATTATTCCAATGTTTCTTCAGCCCAGCGACCGTGGAGTTCGAGATCATGCAGCAAGCGCGCATGACCTTGGCCAAGTCTCCGCCAGGCACCACCGTTGGAGGCTGGTAGTTGATGCCGCACTTGAAGCCCGTGGGGCACCAGTCCACGAACTGAATGGTGCGCTTGGTCTTGATGGTGGCCACGGCGGCGTTCACGTCCTTGGGCACCACATCGCCTTGGTCTTGCGGGTGGCACGGAGGGTGCGAGAACGCATGGGGACCTGTGTGGGAAACGAAGCACAGAATCTTGTTGTTAACATAGGCTATAGGCTATAGTCAAAGGAAAATCCCAAATCTTGAGCCAAAATGTTCCAAATCAAACTAAATCTGCCCAAGTGTAGACTGCAGAAAAGAACTCAACAGGAAATGGTTCGCTTCCCCTTTGTCAGTCAATCGGCTCGTGTCGTTCGCTTTGCCCTTGTCAAACCACCAATTCGTTTAGGGAACGGGGTCGGAGAGGGATCGAGAATGCTGGAAGTGAAAATCAAGTGTCAACTAACTAATTCACACTCACCAAGAGTGACAGGTTCCCCGCGTTCATAGGTGAGTGACACCTAGGTGAGTGACACCTAGACAGCTCCTCTTTTCAAGTGCTTGCACTTTTCCATCCTACTTCGGGGGCAAGGAATTATGCCCAACCCTCTACAAAAAACAGGATCGCATCCCCTGTGGCCAAGGCATGCCAAGGCTCCACGGTACATCATGCAGCAGGCCATGTACTTGCCATGACGGGGATCACACTTCACCATCATGGAGGCTGGCTCAAACACTGACATCGTGATCTCGGCCACAGACAACTGTTCATGGTATGCCTTCTCCGCAGAGATCACCGGTGCGTATGAGGTGAGCATGAAGTGGATTCGCGGGTATGGGACCAAATTGGTCTGGAACTCGGTGATGTCAACGTTCAAAGCACCGTCAAAGCGGAGGGAGGCGGTCCTTGGACACCATCGACCGTCGACCGCGTGCTGAAGTGAACCAAACAGAAAAGAAACTTGGAAACCGTCCATGTAGTCGAAGTCAGGCAAAAAACAAAGCATCGCAAGCTTGGGACTGTTTTTTATGCTATTCTAGTTGGTGCCTAACGGTAAAGTAGCAGGTCTGAATACAGCCAGAAGCAGCAAGAAAGCAAGATGTGACAGGAGAATTATAGTATATATGGATCTTCATACTCTGACAAATTTATGCTGTTCATCCAGCCAAAAGGCAAATGGTTGGAAGATCCAGGTATATCATACATCGGTATATCTGCATAAACCCCATGCAGGCCACATGACAACTGACAAGTGCCATGCGAAACGTCAGACTCTGACCAGGTCCAGGTCCAAAAGAAGGCACCCCCCTTGGCGACGATGGCCACCGATCACCGGAAGAGAGAGCAAGAAGTGATCGCAAGTGATGACAGTGTCGACAGGTGGCTCAAGAATCCTGCAAATTTGATCAAATTGGTTTAAGTCTCCATGCTCAACCCTGACTCTACCCCATGCACCCATGGGGAGAAACTCCCGCACCCGAACCGTACGGAACCGTCGTTACCCGCAACAGACGGACCAACGAACCGAAAGAACCGTGAGTGAAATAGTTCCAGAGGCAGGTAGCGGCCATTGAGAAGAAGAAAACCCTGTACCGTTCAGTTGTATGGAGAATGACTCTGAAGCGCACAACCACCGCAAAAAACTATTGCACGATAAAAACGGCAAGCAGGAAACGGACAATTGGGAGGAAGTCAGCAGCGCAGCCAAAAGCTGAAATAATCTGGATCCTTCTGAAGCAACTTTCTTCAGTCTCATGATCCTCATGCACCCAGACTGCATGGTCTTTTGCGAGGCATGCATAGTCGCTTTTTGCGCCGTGTAAAACGTCATGCGAGATGCATGACGTGCACAGAACCATGGAATCTACAGCATCCATTGCTTTGGTGACCTTTACGGTGGATTTGCCACTTTCCAGGCCCACAAATGTTGGTATCATGATATGCACAGTTCTTGAGTGTGATGCAAACTAGCATGGGGCTGGCCTGGCTAGTCTGAAGGGTTTTGTCTTGTGCACATGTTCAAGAAGAATGAACAACCTAAAGATGGCCCAGATTCAAACTGGAGATGATCTGGGCGATCAACCGGTTGAGATTGGTATACGTTGGCCGCTCGATGTCCAAGTTTCGGCGACAAATGTCGTACAATGCCTCGTTGTCCTTGAAAGCAATGAGGAATGAGAAAATGAAACTGCAATGCTGCTAATGTGGACGAGTTGCGTACATGATGGTCACGTCAGTATGTTCCAGCAAGGAATGAACGCACCTCGGCAATTTTGATCAGTTTTGATCAGACAGGCGCAGTCTTGAACTTGCATGGTGCAATCATTCAAGAGGACTCGACATGCCCTGTCCGATCCTGTCCGTGCATAGGGACCTCCAAATGGATCGAATCTTAACTGCAATCGAACCTGTATTGCAAGCTGTGCTATCGATTTGGGAACCACTGGAACACAAGACTCGGAAAAAACGCCAAGCCATTATCGAACCGTGCAGAGGAACAGGACAGTGTTGTACGGCTCCACGACTGCAGTGGCCACTTGCGGGCAGCACCAAACCTGTCGGCAGGCGACAAAACACGAGGCCCGAGGCGAAACAAGGAGCAAAACACGGAGTTGTTTGGTGGACTCGGGCTCTTGCCTGACTCCTTTACGTTGACGGTGTAAACAATGTAAACAGCTAGCCTAAAAAGAAACCATATTCCAAGAACATGTTCATTCCAAGAAGCCGTGAAAGAGATCTTGCTCTTCTTGCCGTAGTCAACTGACAAGCGCTCCAACATCAGGCAGCCCAAGCCGGATCCAGTACCTCCACCGCATGCGTTGTAGACGCAGAAGCCCTGCAGACCTTGGCCGAAGAATTTCACCAAACGGCGTATTGGACCAACAGGGAAGTCCCCCCAACCAGTCACACTCTGCAGGAGGGGTCGCGCAGGCCTTTATAGCTACCAATGTTTGGGGCATGCGGAAATCACGAAAGTGTGCGCCAGGTGGGTGCGAAGTCGATGTGACGCAGCGACGCCGCGACGCTGCGAGGCTCCGCCTCGTGTCTTCGCCCCTGACGCTGCGACGCTGCATGGGTCCGGCTCGTTTCTTCGCGTCTTCGCCCCTGCCGCTGCGATGCCGCGACACTGCGAGGTTCCTTCTCAGGACACACATCGACACTCGCAAGCCACATCAACAAAAAAGAACTTGCAACTAACAAACACGCCATCTGTCCCCTTAATTTCATATAGAAGTGCCGCTTCAAGTCTTTCCTTGTCGCTCCACGTCCTTTCCTTTCGCTTCAAGTCTCTCAGTCTCTTCTTCTCGCTTCAAGTCCCTTTTGTCCGCCTCACGTCTCTTCTTTACCGTCTCAACTCAAGTCTCTTCACTTCACTTCAAGTGTCTTCTCTGCGTTTCAAGTTCCGTCTTAGCGTTTCAAGCCTCCTCTTTTTGCTTCAAGTGTCTTCTTTTCGCTTCGAGCGCTTTCTTTTCGACTCAAGTCTCTTCTGTTCGCTTCAAACGTCTTCTTCGATTTTTTGTTCCAACTCTCGAACGGCCCTTCTTTTCGCTTCAAGTCTCTTCTTTTCACGTGTCTTCTTTTCGTTTCCGATGTCTTCGCTTCGTTTCAAGTGCCTTCTGTTCGTTCGAAGTCCCTGCTTATGGCTTCAAGTGTCTTCTTTCACGACGCTGCAAGGATCGGCCGGCGTCTTCGCGTCTTCGAAGTGAAATTCTTGCACCCGCCCCGCGCGCTCAATGAAAATCACTATTATTCTAGAATGCAGGTATGAGACCCCCCACTTGAACAGCCTACCATTCCACCACATCTCTTTAACACCCTCTATATATTTTACTATTTTTCATTGTACATACCCAGTCCACGGAGGAAGAAGCAGGGGCATCGAAACGGCGCACGTCACCAATGGGTGCTCGATCTCAATGGTCCTTCATCTGGCACGTCTTTGGGGGGTTTGGGTCTGGCCACATCGACACCGACAACCCGTTTCCACCACATCAACGACCCGTTTTTTGCGCCCGGCAAAAGATGCAGAGGAGGAGCCAGTGCAATTGTCCGCAAGCTTTCGAATGCGATCCAACACCAGGTCAACCTGTTTTTTCCCGGACACCCAGCCAAAACCACGCAGCAAAAGGTTTGATCATGTGTCATCAATGTGTGTTGCAAAAAGAAAATCCATCAAAAGCGAGTGCTTCAAGAACGAGCCGCGATCTCCTTGCCGATGGTGTAATGACCTCGAGCAAAATGGTTGTAGCTGTGGTCTGCTCAGGAAACAAGAGAAAGAAAGAAAGAAAGAAAGAAAAGAAAGAAAAGAAAAAGAACCAAATAGAAGAAGACAGATTAGCATGGCCCATGGCTAGCATGGCCCCTGCACATGGATATCACACAGAAATCGAGCAGTGGGCCTCGAGCAAAATTGTTCGCTGCATCTTCTTTGCCGGAGATCAACTGCTCAGGATGGAAGAGCTGGCGATAAGTGCCCGTGCGCACTTCATCCACCACCTGGCGATGGGCGCCACAAGTGGCCAACACGAAAGAAAATCACTGGACCTTGTGACATTCCGTTGGCTTGTAGGTATTTAGGAAGCCAAATCTAAAGGACCCCCAAATAGATAGAAGCTCGTAGATCCCCACGTAGAACATGTCTTGGAAACTGTTTATCTATCTATGTTGGGGCACCACTATGTTACTCAAGAAAACAAAAACGATGCCAACCATCAAAGTCTGGCTGCTGTCGGCTCCAAGTCGACCATCACGCAGCGAGGCACGTGTTTTCCAGCGCCCGTCTCCGAAAAGAACCTCCATGTGTTCGTGCTCGGTGCCACGGGACGCACCATGGTTTTTGTGGAGGTGGGAAGCTAGTCTGCCTAGCGGATCCAATCAACATCAACAAGGTTTGCAGCAACTACTGCGTTTCCACCACAAGGCCATAGAGAGAGGTCTGTGTTTTGATGCATTTATTGATCGAACTCTTGCTTGTCCGTGGAAAAAATCGCCAAAAGTTAACTAGGGTTGAAAAGGGTCTGATTGCTCATCTGAAACCAGGCGATGGGTGAAAAAACAAAATCCCCATCCCTGATGATGTTGTTGGTTTTTCTTTTGCAGTGTCCGGCAACTTTTGGCATATGGTAACACCAAACATGAATGAAACGATGACAGCGCAGCTGTAGCCCGGAAGAAATGAAGATGGTAGTGGTATGATGGTACTCAACCCTCCGAAAGTGAACCACCCACAAAAACAAAGTGGCCGCAACACAAAGCCCCGACAAAAGAATGGGCAAAATGTCAAGCACAAACTCTGTCAAACATTGTTAAAAACAAGTATGTCCAATCTCGGGATTCGAGATGACGATTTCTTAGTGGATTTTGCAACAGACCTTTGTACGTCAACGGTCTCCAAGTGACGTGTTGAAGGCATCATCCCCACCGCCAATGGTCTTGTCGCTGGGCATTTGTCCATCAGGTTGAATACCATGTTCCAAACAAAAAAGTTCCCAGCAAGCATTGCCAATCTGCACGCCGCCCTGTCACCAGAAGACCAATGAAAACAGGCCAAACGACACGACCCATCCTTCGTGAATGAAGGTTTCTTCATGGTGTCATTCATAGATGGCATCCCGAAAGGTGGTTTCTTGTTGCATACATAACATTATGTGTGCGATGTGCAAACCATACTTTTTAGATGGAGAAGGCTGGGGTGTCTGATTTTGTAGTTACAAATCAAGAACCCAACGATAGGGCCTCCCCTTTGAAGTCTACAATTTCTGACCTCACAGCCTCTGAGGTAGTCATCTGAATCTACAAAATCAAGAACTGATTGATGCAACGCAAATACTTAAAGTATCATGGCCCAAGCATCAAGAACTCAAAAAATGGACTGTCAGGAGCCACATTGTGCCCATAGGATGTTGTAGTGAAAATGTTTTTTTGGTGTTGTGGTCTCTTTAGCGTCTTTAGGACATGTTGTGATTCTGTAGGGAAATTGTTTTTGTCGAAGGATGTTGCCCACTACAATCGTGTTTCCAACGTTTACAGCACATGGAATGATCATGTCTGTCACACAACTTGAACAATTGTTTTTTCAAAACATCTATGGTCAGCCCCTGACCAAATTACCTCCATTAGACAGGTGTAAAACTATTGTACACACCTAGTGCTGGAAGATGTTACTCAGCCCACGGGTCCAAGGAGACCAAGCTTTGATTTTGTAGCAGAAGCACTGATCGCCAAATACAGTACTTCCCCATCTGTCAGGTGCCGGCTGTTAGATTTTATGTCAGCTGCCGTGCTTCTCCTTCTCCTTGTTTTCCTCGTCCTGATCCTGCTCCTCCTCCTCCTCGCAGGACCTCAACCGCGAGCTTCGGCTAGCAGTGTTCCCCGCCGGAACTCAAGCGCGAGGCAGAAGATATGCCAGATAGAACGCCAGAAAGAGTGTCAGAAAGGATGTCAGAAGATATGCAGAAGATATGTCCGAATGTCAGAAAAAATGTCAAAAAAATGTGCCATAAAAAAATGTCAGAAGATATGCCAGAAAGAATGTCAGAAGATATGCCAGATAGAACGCCAGAAAGAATGTCAGGCAGAATGTCAGAAGATATGCAGAAGATATGCCAGATAGAATGTCACACAGAATGTCAAAAGATATGCCAGAAAGAATGTCAGAAAGTATGTCAGAAGATATGCCAGAAAGACTGTCAGAAAGAATGTCACAAGATACGCCCGATAGAATGCCAGATTGAACGTCAGAAGAGATGCCAGAAAGAATATCAGAAAGAATGCTAGAAGAGATGCCAGAAAGAATACCAGAAGATATGCCAGAGAGAATGTCATAAGATACGCCAGACGAGTGTCAGAAGATATGACAGAAAAATTGTCAGAAAGAATTCCGAAAAAATGTTTCAATACGTGCCAGAAGATTTGTCAGATTGAAATGTCATGGTGGGGATCACTCGAAGTTATATAAGTAATTGTTTTTGTTTTCGCTGCTTTAAGACCATCCCTACAAAATCGAAACTTTTATCTCTGTCTACACATTCAAAGCCAAAGCAAACGCTTAAGAAAATCTTGCACTTTCCAAAGTTGCCTGGGTTCTTCTACAGAATCATGACCCCACCTCAATCGGTGAGATTTTGTGTGACTTTTTGATGGTAGGTCAGAGACCTAGGTTTGATTGTCTAGAAAATTTAGAACATACAGTCTCTACAAAATGACCCCTGCTTTGACACCCTGGGGTGTCAAATTCTGTAGCGAAAACTTCGAGGATGATCATTTTGGATTCTTAAAAATCTTAAAACTTCCTCTTTGCCGCACCTGCTCCAAAATCTGCTCTTCAAGGTTCGCAAAATGCTGCACCTCCCACGAAATCTGCACTTCGAGGCTCACAACGCAATGCTCCTGCAACTTGCTGCGCCTGCCGAGAAGTCTGCAAAGTTAAGCGATGCACCTGCTACGAAATCTGCACTTCGAGGTGCACAAAGCACTGCATCTGCTAAGAAGACCGCGCATCAAGATTCACCTCGGGCAGCCCTGCCAGTGCGTTTCGCAACAAGAGCACTTCCAAAGACGACGCGGCTTTCGCTCGATGCTTGCTCCAAACTGTGAAAATCAGCCGCGTGTCCAAATGTTCACGATTCACTGCACCTGCTACGAAATCAGAGCGCACCAAAGACCAGCACCATGTCCAAAGTGCTCCGCCTGCCACGAAATCTGCACATCGAAGTCAAACGTCTCCAATCTCTTGCATCTGCCACAGAAAGTTGGCAATTTGCCAATGCAAATCTCCAGACTCAATTCAACTGCGTTGATGATTTTGCATCTTGTTCACCCTATATCGCCGCAAATCCCCTGGTTCCTATCAATCTCGCTCCCTAAACCTACAGGTATGCTGCTGCTTAGGATTACTCCACTGTCCCCGTCAGTCTCGATCTTTACATTTCACTTTAACATGCCAGCCAGGCGTCAATTCCGAATTCAGTGCTCGGTTAAGTGGGGCATCTGTTCTCTATAGTCTATATTGGTTCCTTCTTTTCTGTGAATCATCTCGGCATCCATCTGGGACATTGCAAGCCATCTGTCACAGCTATCTTAAGTTTATCTCTGAATCAGATGCTTGCAAGGAAGGATCCCTACCCTCCTGTCAATCCGACTCGGTGTCTACTACTACTCACATTCTCGCACTCTCGGTATCTCTTTTATGTCTACCTGCTTATCATCATGTTTTATCTATATTATATATATGCGTATATATACGTGTATATATATATAACTGATTACCATGCATGTGTAGACAGGATGCCAGTATGTGTTGCATCCATGGCTGGTTTCTTGTCTACTCTGTGCAACCCTGTAACCTTGGGTAAGGTGTCAACGAAAAGCAAGAGAACGCGCGATATCACAGATGGACTAGTAGAACTGGAAAGGTAGGAAGATGCTGACTACTACTATATACAGGATACAGGAAGTTGGTCCTGGAGGTCTTGTTGATGTGGAAAAGAATCCAAGGACAGGAAACCAGCCCAACAAAGTCTCGACTGGCCTGGCCAATATGGATGCAGATCGCTTCACGCATGGTCGAGAAAGGGCTGTGAGAAAAGCGGAAAGGTGTCAGAAGCACACCGTGCGATGTGGCAGCGCCTCAGGCACAAATCCTTGAGCCAAAATGAGGAAATGCCAAGGCGTATGGCTTGGTCTGTCTCAAAATGGAGACATCCCGGATCGCACGTTCCCCTTGACCGCTGGTGTCTGGCGTCTCCTGGCGTCTCCGAGTTGGGTCGAACCCGGAGACCCGTGGGTTGGCCAATCGAACAGAATGGACTAGCTGGGAGGTCAATCAACAAGGGTATTGAGGCTTCAGCTTTTGACCCAGACTCATATCAACCTATCAGGACCTATCACCCATCAGTGTCCATTCAGGAGCGCTAGTCCAAATCTCATGGCCCCGCTTGTAAGGCTCGAAGGGGTTACTGTACATGTGATGGACGAGATCCTGCAGAATCCGGCACTTGCAAAAGCCAACACCCTCCCTTGGTGCAGGAACTTGAGAACAGAATGTTCACCCCTGCTTCAAGGCTGTTGAGCTGTCCACACAAAACTATTCATACTCCATGTCCAAATGTCATCCCTTTCCCACTCTCACCTGCTCCTCAAGATAGCGGCCGCCGCTGGACCAGCCCTGAACCTTCACTTCGCTGGAGACCCGCAACTCCAGGTCCTCGCTTCCGCGCGGCGGAACGACTGGCCGGGCGTTTCACCGTTTTCGAACCGGACTCCCCGCGTCTGTTGAGGGGAAATCTGTCTTTTCGGTGTGGTGTGTCCTCAAGGATCGATCGAAATGAAAGCTCCAGAAGTACCCCAGTCGCCAGAAGTCTGACTTTCCGCTCGGTGCCCTCTTGAGCTCAAGAATAATCCAGGAAAGTGTCAGACCTCTTGATCTCTTGATAGACATGGGGGGGTTGTTCTACAAATATTGGGGACACCCAACCAAAACTCAGTTGGTGGTGCTCTCTTCACACAGAACTGAGAGCTGTGCTTCTTCGCTTCCCAAGAAACCATACCTTCAGAAGGTGGAGCGACACTGCTTAAGACTCCATTCACCAACTCTTGGAAGGTCCAGGTGTCAACAACCAACTGCGAGGTGTTTCTTGTTCAGGCAAAAAAACATGGTTCTCTCATGTCACATGATGCCTGCCACATGCGAAAGCGCACGTCCCGCCCGAGCTCGTCTCGCCCCATCTCAGCTCCTCCAAGCCAGTGA